GTCATAATTTACTATTACAAAAACACTGAAAAAGTACTCATAAGACCTTGCTATTTACAGCTTGAATTTAAAGAGTTCAAATATTTAATACCTTTTTTTAAAATATAAGTTAAAATATAATTTAGATGAATGCTAAGAGATCCATAGAAAACATAAGTTCACTCATACTTCAGGATAGGCCATGTCCAACATAATAGCTATAGTTCATTAAAAATCTAAAATGGGACATTATTCTTTACATGAGTCATAGTAAAATCTCTAATTTGGGGAAATGAGAACATGTTTTGACTGTCACGTGAGAAACAATTTACTAGAAGTTATCCAATATGTGGCATTTTAACTGACAGGGTGGTATTTGATTTGGTAACAAATAGCGTCAAAAGGGCATTTAATCTGGTTTCAGCAGACTTGTTAGGAAAGATATCATAAAGAATACAGTATAAATGTTCAGTAAATTCATAAAACTTTGTTAATAGATGAGTCTTTTAATAATTTCATTTGTATTAAAACTATGTACAAAATGAAAAAGTTTCAGTGCTTGTGACCTCTAATAAAATTCTCTGCTTTGTTACTATAAAAATTTAAATAAAACTGTTCATGATTAGAAATAATGCGTATTTAAAGCATAAGTTAGTAAAATGTTATTTCAGAGTACTGTGATTCATGAATTTGTGATACCATACTTTTACTCAGAGAATGTTTTATTTACTTCTGAAGATCAGAAACAAAATAACATTAAGGGGAAAAGGAAAATAAAGACTACATTTTTGTTAAAATTTTTAAATACTTTATACAATAAGCAGGTTTAGGATATAAAACAACCTATGGGAAGCAAAGAGAAATAATTTATTTTGTGATAAAGGTAAGTATTTTACCTAAATTTCTATTTTGCTACTCATCTGTTCCATTAATTCCTTCCTTTGAAACACTCATTAATGTACTCCAGACTTACCATCTAGAGATCTTTGGATCTGATTGTGCCTTCCTTTTTCTCACACTGACATCGGTGATTGATCCTGGTGTTGGTGCTAAGTGTTGTGGTGACTCTGACAAAAACACAAGTTTGAGTTGAGGCATTCCTATTTTGCAACTGTCTGTACAACCTTAAGCCAAATTATTTGATCTCTCTGTGCCTCAATTTCTCAGTATTAAACACAGAATACTACATAAAGTTGATGGGAAAAGGAAATGAGATGACAAAAATAAGGAACACAGAACTATTGGATTTCCCTTCTTCACTTATTATTGAAATAACAATTAGTAAACTTGGCAAAATTGTGCCATGGTATTCTCCCCTTTCAATAATTCACAGAGACCTTTAGTGTGAGCATTTGAGCATTAAAGACGAAGTCTACCTTTATTTTTTCATTGCATCGTTTCTCTCAACTAAGGAGTGGTATTTTCACTTTTTAGAAAACATTGCTTATAGTTTCCAATTTGAGCTTTGTATTTTGGTGCTAATGTCACCAATTCATACAAGTTTATAAATATTATTACTTGAAACATTATTTCTTTTATAGTCTCACTTTATTTTTAATACTTTCCCTCAATATGAATTGTCATTAATATTACTATGGCTCCTTTTGGTTAACATATGACCAGTTTATTTTCTGTTGTTTACCTTCTTACTTAATCATACTTAACTACACATAGCTAACTTTTTAAATTTAAACGTGAACACTGCTGTTTATTTTAGCAGAACATTCGTACTATTAAGTTTTATTTGTATTACAATTACTGATATATTTGTATTTCAGCCATCAGGTTATAGGCTTTGTTTTACCATAGTTTTGCTTTATTCCCCCTCCTTCCTATCTTCTGTTGAATTTTTTTTCATTGGGTTGAAATACTTTCTGTTTTATTTTAGTGATTAACCTAAAATGTGTAACATATTGTTAAGTTTATATTTGTAATAGTTATAGCTTTTAACCAGTAGATTCTTCTAGACTTATGTGTTCCAAAAATTTAATATAAACTATTTTAATCGGGGAAAATACAAAATTAATCACAAAAATACAAAATCACATTATTATTGAATAATCTAGCCATCATAAGCTAGTTTTTGAAGTTGCTTCTTCATGGAAAATCCCACAAACCAGAAATCTGTCAACTAATGAGGGCTACATGCATAAGACATGATCTTAGAAGTAGCACTTGGGGAAGTTACTGCCACTTTCCCCATACTGTACAGTAAGATAGGTGGCATCATCCATTTCTCAGTTGTTCCAAGAACTGTCCCTCCTGTTTGCTCAGTCAGTCTTATAGGCCCTCTTCAGATACTTTATTTAAAAATCGGTAAGGACGTCAATACAGAGCTCATCTCTTCTTGGAGCTATAATTTTCTTGCAGATGGCAGGCTTGGTTCCTTGAAACATCCTGACATCTCATACCATCCTGTTCTTCTATGAGGAGCTGTGGACTTTGAAATCTGCAGTAACTGTGCCATAAACTATATGGGAATAATTTTCAGCTCATAGGCAAGGAGGGACTTCGATTAATAGTCTCACCTTCCTTTGGTGAAGATCCACATATGGCTGAACTTCCTAATAGCTACTCATGACAAGAGGTATATAGGAGAGAGTATATATATAACAGTTGCTAATGCCAAGTTACTTGTATAGCTCTTCCTAATTCCCTTGCCTCGTCATGAAGAGTAGGAAATGATTCATATGGTTATAATCTTAAAAATATTTTAAATATGGCCAACTATTGAGGTCCATGGTTCCATTAATTCGGTCTATTTATACTCACTTCTGACAAAAGATGAAATCAAAAACCTATCAGGGTTTACAGAACCAGATCTCCCCAATAAGAACAGCTGTTTGATATCTGAACTGTTGCTAGGGGGAATTGCTTCCTGTAAGCAATAGCAGATTATCATAAAGCAGCGTTATGGACTAAGTCTTAGTCAAAAGGCATGGCTCCCCCATAACAGTGTACTCACTAAGAGTGATGCAATCCAAGATCCAGGAAACCATCCCTACCACAGTGTCCAGAGTAGTCCATTGAACACTTGGTACTGCCACTACCTGCTGCCCAGCAGCAGGTAAAGTCATCCTAGTTGGAGACCCACAACCTGATTAACTACTACTGACTTCACTTCTGTTCCCAAAATGCCTACCTAAAGAGTTATGCCCAAATCACAGGTACATCTAGTAGGGAGAGAGGAAAAAAAAAAAAAAACGCTTCACGGGCTTATGTTCCAACCTGGGCTTTGAATACTTTTGCTGTCAGTATTTATCAGGTTCTCAGTCCTTACAGTCATACAGGCCCTTAAAAAACAAGGCCTACTTCCAGAATAACAGACTTCAGTGAAATCAGAGGTTGTGTTTTATTTCTTGTCCTGCCTATTCTTGACTTTCATACAACCATAGGTTTTCTGATTTCTGAGGTGCCCTGATCTATGAATTCAGTTGTGGGATAGACTTCCAGTATACAGTGGTACCATTTAAGCCATACACTGACCATAACTTCTTACATGGCTCCATCGATGAGACTGAAGTTGACTGAGTTGACAGCTTGTAAGATACTATTTAAAAGTCACATCTCATGCATATGATCCATGTGTTACCACTTGTAACTCTCCTTCCAGGCCTCCTAATGAGGATTTGAGAGCCTCAAGATTAATGTTTGGGAGAATCGTCTTTCTGGTTAATGAATCTACAAGATGCCAGATAAAGTGTAACAGTTCTGGAATAAGGAACTTCTTACAGGATTATAGGTTTAATCATCATTTTCTCCTAAAGTGGCTAGGATGTCCTCTCAGAAGTGCATGCTTTCCACTTTTAAGTTTTGCCTGTTAGCCACTTGCCATTCTTACACTGCTGGATCTTGCAAGGCACATATACCCACTCAGTACCCAAGATTATGTGCTTAAGTATTACGTACCTCCTACAGAAAATTCAAATGGTTGGTCTTCCATATCACCACAGTAGTAAGATATAGCCTACCACACACACTCCTTCACTCAAAACATCCCGTCTTCTGTGGTAATTATGCTCCCTTTGATTCTGTTTTCTTGTACACTCCAGTGAAAGATGTTCTAGTAACCAGTTAAGTACCTATATAAATGGCAAACTGTACAAAAGAACTCCACTGACACTCTTAACAGTATACTGACCAGCACTAAGTGGTAAAGACAATTCAAGTAGAAGACAATATCCATTCATAACTTACAAACTTTTAATAACCTAAACAAACTCTAAGACTCCATAAGGACACATCAAAGGTAGAGGCTATCATTCAATGGTTTTCCAAGTCATTTCCTTTATACAAACACATCCCATCATTTTCACCACTCTGTTCTATATAGATGTAGAAAAGATACTACACTTGGTCTTAAACCACAGTAATCTACCCTGTAGTCCCAATAGGTAATTGAAGTACATTACATGAAAAGTCCAGAATTCCATTATGAATGAGTGAATGAACCAACATTTGTCTTTGGCATTCTTTTCTAAGCACTTGCCAACCAACCAGAAAATATTCAGCATGCTGATAAACAAAGTGGAGGAGAGCATTTGCATCAGGAATAAACCTAAAGGGCTACCAGCATAATAGTTTACTCCAAGTGAGATGTCTCTGGTCAGTATCATGCTTAAAATGAGTATTTCAAGGCAAATTCTCATTTTACACTTTTAACTTTCCAATCACCTATAGCACTGGTTTACTGTGTTGTAGTTATTGTATAATTGATTGTTAACATCTCTGTTGTGTTCCTATGAAGCCTTTGAGAGTCCTAAATCCAATTTGAGATTCCTGCAGCATTGATCATTCCTCCCTTTCATTATTCCTTTCAACAAATACAACAAAACAGATCTGAATAAGGTACTTACAAACTTTTAAACGTTACTAACCTAAATGAGAAAAAAAAAATCAGTAAAACTACTTGGAAGTAAACACTAACATTTATTTATAACTCTTACACAATTTGTATAACAGAGATTCTGATGGACCCAAAATCATAGAAATAATTATTACATGCATAATAAAACTAAGAAATTTAAAATATTGCCCTTTTGAATTTACTGATTTTTATAAATCATACCTGTAAATTCATGTTATTAAGGTTTAAAATTCTGAATATTCAAAGTACCTCACAGAGCTTTATTATAGTCTGGACAAACTTAATATATTTACTATTTTCTCAGTAGTCTTGGAAAATTTATGATCCTTTTTAAATTTATGTAGAAGTGGTTGTTATTATCCCCTACTTTAAGAAAAGCAATAAAGATTATTTTAAATTTTGCAAAATAAGAAACCGAAAATATTCTGAAGCCTTAATGTTAACACTGTGAGAAGCTAGCGCCATCTACTGGTTGAAGTGTAATGTAAAGCGTAATGTATTGGATTTAATCAAGGTGGTTAGAACATAAAAATGGGCAGGACATATCTAGACACTGGTTTTTAAAGTTAAATAAAATAATCTGTTTTAAACAGAACACTCAACACACAACAAAGTAGGACACCCTGAGGTAATGGCCTTCATCACCCACTAATTTGCCCAGAAGAAGCCCGGCTAATAAAAAACAAGCCATGAGAGGTAATCTGGACAAATAACTGTTTTGGAAGGAGGCACAATGAGATAAAAACAGTATCAGCAAAGTTGTTAACTTTGCACTGGAGACATCTTCAGGTCACTGGTACACAAACACAGTGGGCACTGAGAACTAAAGAACTGGGGGTAGGTACCTGAAAGACAACAAACTCGATTCACAGGAACATTGCTTATGTGCTCATTTGATGCAACGATCTAGAAAAATTAGTATAACTTTCCTGAAAATGCAAACAAAAAAAACACTTTTGCTTTTTTTTAACCACAAGTCAGTAAGAACTAAGATACTAGGTTCTGTGGGCTTTCACCAGCCAGGCCCTGGACTGGTCCAGTCTTGGAAACAAGAGACCAGTTTCAGGTCCCAGCCTCCTCCCTTCAAAAGGGCATGGATGGCCATAGTATCGAGGCAAGAAATAGAGTTCTGCAAGGCCCCTCTCTGTGGCAGAGACCCCTAACCTAGACAGCAGCTTGTCTGCTAGGCTTGGGGTGACCGGCTGGAGCAACGTTCCAAAGACTCTCAAACACTCCAAGGCTACATGAAGCACAGTTCCCAGCCAGGGAGCATCCACTGGACTCTCCCAGTTCAACTTCCATGGAGCATGCCTTTGGACAAAGCCATTAGTCTGACGGACACAGTTAGACACTGCCTCCAGAGCCTTATAGATCTGAAAGTTGTCATAGTAGTCTGTGACCTGCTTGGGCAAAGAGGCGACTGCGTTCACCAGAGCATAGTCCTCTGCCTGAACACGAACTGATGGTCCCACCAACCCTGGTTCACTAGGAAAACAATTTGTGCAGAAGGCTGGGTAAATCCCAGAAGGATTTATTCTACTGGCAGTGCATCGGTTCAAGAGACCTCCCAAAGCATCTGCCAGCTCAGAGTCTAGCAATTTAACCACCTTTTCATCATAGTAATCACAGTCCCAGTTGGGTACGCCCTGCCTTAGCAAAAAGTATCGGAAGCCATCCACAGTATAGCGGTCAAGGCAATTCCTAGGATCTATCACGTTGCCCAAGCTCTTAGACATCTTTTGGCCACAGACTGTCCAGTGCGAGTGAACATAGATGCGGTGCGGTGGACTCAGGCCGGCCCCTAAAAGAAGGGCAGGCCAGTAAATAGCATGGAATTTGAGAATGTCCTTGCCTATTATATGCGAGGTGGTCGGCCACCAAGAACTGAAATGGGCATTTGGGTAGCCGATGACAGTAAGATAGTTGACCAAAGCATCCAGCCATACGTAGATGGTCTGTGAATCGTCGTCGGGCACCGGAATGCCCCAGTGCAGGTGGCTACTCCTGCGAGAGACGGACAGGTCGGGTAACTCCTCCTCCAGCCACTGAAGGACCGCCTGGTAGAAAGGAGCGGGAGTGATCGTCTGAGGGTCGCCGCGTAGCCACCGTAAGAGCGGATCCCGGAATTGGGAAAGCCTGAAAATGTAGTTTTCTTCCTTAGTCCAGGAAACAGGATGGCCACTCTCTAGAGATACAGGACATAAATCCCCCGATGGGCCCGGCTGCCGAGCGACCTTAGCCTCAGGCAGGAAACATTCGTCAGAGGCGCAATACCAACCTTCATAGAGCCCCTTATAGAGCAGACCCCGGGACTTCAGGACGCCCCAGAAGTGCTGCACAGCCGTCCGGTGCCGGGCCTCGGTGGTGCGGATGAAGTCAGTGGAGGAGATGCCGGCCTCCCGGAAAAGCTGCTGGAACTGGCCGGAGACTCGGTCGCACAGCTCGGACGGAGCCAGCCCCGCAGCGGCTGCCGCCTGTTGAATCTTCAGGCCGTGCTCGTCGGTGCCAGTGGAGAATCGCGTGGCTGTGGCGCTGGGGACGCGGAGGCGACGGTGGCGACACAAAGCGTCCGCCAGTAGCGCCGAGTACAGGTGCCCGATGTGCGGCGCCGCGTTCACGTAGAAAATGGGTGTTGTAAAGAAGGCGCGCGCGTCGCCGGCGTCGTCGCCGACCCCCAGAGGACGCGAACTGCAGCGGCGGGCACCAGAGACCTTACTGGCCCCGGTGCGTCCCAGCACCCGGAAGGCAGGGATTCGCAGCATGTTGCCGGCCTGGCCGGAGCGTTGGAGGGGGCGTTGTGAACGCACGTGTGAGGGGCGCGTGCGCAGCCGGCCGCGCGCCGCTTCCGGCAGGACAGCCAATGAAGTCCGAGCCCCGCGCCCCGCCCCCGCCGCCGCCGCGGCCTGTGGACGCGCGCAAGGTCAAAGACCGTGTGGAAGCGGCGTTAGCCGACCGTGTGAGAGCGGATAATCTTAATCTTTTCATAACATCCTGTGTGCTCTGCTGTGGGTTGCGATCTATATTTATAGTAGCCTTCCTGAGCCGAGCTACTTGTGGACAGGAATTTTATTGCCAAGCTTTTCTCAATCCCCCCCCCAACCTCTGTCCTGTACCCCATTTCTCGTACGCATAAAAAAGTGTATCCCAAAAAAAAAAAAAAAAAGCCTAACATGCCTGGTCAAGGTAGCCATCCGAAATGGTATACACAGTGGGATATGTAGTCAGTGTGCATGGAAAAATCAATCTTCCAAATGTATTTCTCAAATGTAGTTTTTAGTAATTTTCTTTTTTTTTTTTTAAGATTTACTTATTTGTGCAGAAATGGTTTACAGGCCAGAGGCTCAGGGGCGGTGAGCGGCTTCACCAGAGACAGTGGGAAGCAGAACAGGCAGATCAACGAAGTCCACTGCTGAGAGGAGCAGCGGGTCAGGAGAGGTATGCCACGCCATGTGGATCTCCTCTAGGGCAGACGGGAATCGAACTTATGCGAAAGCGGTTTTAGATCCACAGTGCTGTGCTTTAATCCACTGCACCACCACGGAGGGCCGTAATTTTCTTTTTTAAAAGGTATTGAGGTTCTTTGAAAGCAGTATCCAAGTTTGCTTTTAGTAACGGGCCCCTCACTTTGTTGAAGGGGGGGAGGCTCATGAGCCCAGAATGGGTTAATATTCATCCTTGCTTTATTACATTCTTTGACCTATAACAGTCCACCTTTTTTTTTTAATGACTACGTTATTCATTTAATAATAGAAAGAAATAGAACATCATCAATCCAAAACCTAACCTAAAAACTAGGAGGCCTTCTCTACTTGTGATCCCAGAAAGCAGCACTAGCAACTCCTGGGGCCTAGTTAAAAATACAAATATTTGGGCCCTCCCTGGTGGCAAAACTGGTTAAAGCATAGCACTATGAAGCTAGCCGCAGCCCCTTCAGCACTAGTTCGATCCCCAGCCAGGGAGCTGACCTACATGGCCGGCAGACCTCCCTTGTCTCACCAACTGCTCCCCTCAGCAGTGTACTTCAGTAGATCTGCTGAAAGCAGAGCAGTGTTCTGCCCCCCACTGTCTCTGGTGAACCCTCTTGACCCTCTTGTCCCCCCACCTGTACCCCAGCTCTATACATAAATAAATAAGTTTTAAGGCAGTTTTTAAAAAAATACAAATTTAAAAAATTAATACTCTTATTTAAACCACAAGCCATGTACTGAGTCAGAAACTTCAGTGGACCCAGCAGTCTAGGTTTTAATGATTTTGTTATGTGACCCTGCTACACAGTGAAGCTTGAGAACCACTCAACTACACTACCAAAGAGTTAGTTATGTCTCCCTTTGCTCCTTTTCTTCCTCCTGGAGGTAATCATTGTCTTGAATTTTGTACTATTGTATTTATGTTAGCACATTTATAGTATATCTAAGCCATATATCATTTAATTTTGCATGTAGATGAAAAGTTCAAAACCAAAAATCCTACATCTAATATTCTTAACCTTACCTTTTTCACTCAAGAGTTGGTACTAAAATTCATATATGTTTTTGCTTATAACTGTAGTTGATTCATTTTGATTGGTGCATGATAATTTATAAATGAGACAAATGGTAAGTTGAATCTCATTACTGTAGTGATATGGAAAGTGAATCAATCAAATTGTCCAAAGGAGTTACCCTTTGGGGATTTGTCTGAAGTCCTATTTGATCCAGCAGTTTGAGAGAAGCAGGTGAAGGTTAGGTAAAACTTTGAACAGGGAGGTATATATGGCACCCTCCATAATTAGCAGACAAAATTAGGCCAAGTGTCAAATTTTCTAGCAATTCTTAACATTGATTCCTTTTTCCATGAAATCAGTTCTTCAGCATACAAGCATATTACTTTTTTCTCCCATCTTAAAAAAAAAAAAAAAACTTATCTCCCACTACTCCATTCCTTTTTTTTTTTTAAGATTTATTTATTTATACATATAAGAACTGAGGTAAAAGCCAGCGCTGCAGAGGTTGAGAGGATTCATCAGAGACAGAGTGGGGAGCAGAACAGGCATCTCCACTGAAATACACTGCTGAAAGTGGGTCAGGAGTGGTCTGCCAGGCCATGTGAGTCACTTCCCTGGCCAAGGATTGACCTCTTGTGATGCTTTACCCCATTAGGCACCAATATTCCATTTCTTTCCTTCCTTTTATAACAGAACTCCTTGAAAGAAATGGCCATTAACTGACATTTAAATGGTTAAAGTTTTTTTGTTCTTAGAAACTGTGCAGCTACTAATCCTCTTGTATTTATCTCCTGGTAATTAAAGTTTCTCTTAAGTATACATCTAGCAGTAATACCGCTGAATAATAGAAAATGTAAATGTTAAATTTCCCAAGAAATTTTACCTTGGCATTCCAAGGTATTATCCAACATGGTTAAACAAATTCATGTTCCCACTATATCCATAAGGCCATCTTTTCAATTCTTGATGTAATCTACTTATTTAATGTTTTGTCAGCAAAATGAGTATAAAATGTTCTCACTGATTTTCATACAAGCACAACTCACAATAGCCAAAAGGTGGAAACAAGCCAAATCATGTCTTCCTCACAGAACCATAGATTTCTATAAAGCAAAGATCATGTTTAGTTATACCCAGCATCGTGTTCACTGACTAGAATATAGCAAGCACATAAGTATAACCAGTACTTAAAAATCTTTCAGACAGGCCCTCCCTGGTGGCACAGCGGGTTAAAGCACTGCACTAAGAAGCCAAGACCACTTCCTCATTTCCCGCCTGCCCTGGAGGTAACCACATGGCGTGGCAGACCTCTCCGGACCGGCACGCTGCTCCCCTCAGCAGTGTACTTCGTAGATCTGCCTGTTCTACTCCCCACTCTGTCTCTGGTGGATCCTCTCACCACCCAGCACCTCTAGTCTGTACCCCAGTTCTGTATGCACAAATAAAGAAATCTTTAAAAAAAAAAAAACTTCAAATATTCCATTTCCAGTACTTCTTCCATTCCATATTTCCAGTACTCACAGCACATTATATAAAAGAGAACATGAAAAATGATAGGCATGAAAGCACTGTGAATAGTCAAATGAGTCACACTGGGTCAAAGGTAGCTGTCTTCCTAGCCCAACTAACCCAAAAATTGCTTCCCAACAACTATGCTCTTCCTTGAGAATGTAAAAGACTGTGGAATTTTCCTCTGTTAAAAACATTTCTGAGAAGTAAACTATCTAAAGACAAGTAAGCAGAAGGAAGAGACAAAAGGTCATAGTGATCTTCAAACTAAATAACCCTTCTCCCTTTTGAGAATTTTGATGTGTACTATTTAATGTGATGAAAAAATCTTCTCAGGCTTAAGTCCTCTAGAATCTGAAATGTGATCAGGGTTTATATAGTGGCAGAACTACTTCCTTTCTATTACAATTCTCAATTCTGTTTTATAATATAAACATATTAACAAATTTATTTTGTGTTAACTAAATATAGTGTTAAGATATAAGATAAGATTATCTCAGTTAACCTCGATAACAAGCAGATGAATTGAGTACTATTATTAACTCCATTATAAGAGAGGAAACTGAAACCTGAAGAGGTCAAGTAACTTGCCAAGATCGTGTTTCTAGGAGGCATTAGAAACAGGATTTGAATCCAGGCAGTCTGGATCTAAGATTTATAGGTTAGATGAGGTCACCTGATTTGTAAATGGTAAAATGGAATAAACACTCATTACAATGAGTCCATATTAAATTGTTCTTGACTTCAGGTAAATAGTAATTTATTAAACTGAATCAAATTGTCAGCTTGTTTGTTTTTATTAAGGACACTTTGAAAGCTGTAGAAGTATTATTAGTCTCTATGGTAAATTGTTTAATAGTATTTTAAACATTAAGGATGTTGAGGAAATTAACCACCTAACATTTTATCCTTTGCAATTAAAATCATTTTACTTAAATATTTTAATACTTATTTTTATATTTGGGAGTTTTAATTAGCATACAATTTTTTCCAGCAAAAAGAAATTTCCTGTGGAAAGAAATCCTCAAAAAGGCTATCTAAAGACTAGAGTGTTTGAGGATTTTTTTTTTTTTAACTTTACTTTTCTCTTTTTAGATTCCAGAAGTAGTTTCTCAAAAAGCTGACTTCCTTTCTGGAAATGATTTTGTTTCCAACCATGTTGAGAATTCATTTCTCTCCCTCCCTTTCTCTCTGGTTTCTTGGTAGTAACAGAGAGGAAGGAGGGGGTGGGCACTGGAAAAAGGAAAACAGAAAAAGAATTGTATGCCATTATGCCTGAATATAACCTCTATTTGTAGATAATTCCATCTGAGTTACACTTTGCCTTTTTATTTCCCTTTTTGGGCACCTCTTTTAGCATCCAGCCAACTGGAATAGACAAAGCACTGTTGGTGCCCTGAGCGACAGAACTCTGGTTGGGGGCTGGCTGTAAATTGACGTGGCATGGAAATTCTCCGCTAAGTTGTAGCAGCTTGCATGCTCCTCTAAAATCAAGCCCAGTCTCCCGGAGCTGTAGCTTAAGAATCATGGGTTCAACGACTTTACAAAAAAATGGGTAGACAAGATTCTCAGCTCCTTTCTTTGGACTCAAATGTTTTCTTTTGGGGAATCTATGGCTTAACTGAAAAAATCAAAGCAGTTAAGTCTGTAACTTTCTTTTTGCAGCTTAAACAACAGAATTTGCTGCTCTCCCTCCCCTATCCTGCAATTTAATTCCTTACAGATTTTGCCATGGGGTGTGGACTTAGAAAGCTAGAAGACCCTGATGACAGCAGTCCTGGAAAAATATTTTCTACCCTGAAGAGACCACAAGTGGAAACAAAGACAGAAATTGCTTACGAATATGTGTTGCTGGATTTTACTTTACAAGGTACTTTTCTTCTATTTTACTTGTTTCCTAGATAAGGGACTGCTGTATTTTTAAAATGTTGATCATAATCAGGTTATATATCAATTTAACATTAATGATTTGTTTCTTAATTATATTTTGAAAGAGTTTTGTTTACTTCCTTGCTTCATTTTTTATAACGTGGCTGATATATAGTTTATAAAATTAGTAAGCTAGTTAGAAATATTTTTCACTTTTAAATCAAATGCTATTTGTAAAAGATACATGTTTGATTTTCAAGCCAACTAGCCAGAGCTTTAATGACAGTTTGTGTTTTGAAAAAAGATCTGAATGGCACAAGAACAGAGCACATAGAAAATATTACTTGCATCATATGGAAGAATATTTGCTAGCACAGTTTTGAGATGTTCAATTATGTTAAATACTGTGATTGTTTTACTCATTTGGCATTTTGACCAAACTAAAACTTGAAATTTGAAAATATGGTAAAAGGGAAGGGGTGGAATGGGGGTGTAGGGAAGGGATGTCGTCTTCTGGAAGACACTATTTTGCTTGGTGCCTGGTCCCTAACAGAGAAACTCCCTGTTCCAGAAAGTTGGAAACACAAATAAACAAGCCCAGATGGCAGTCCTGTGGAAGGAACAGAGGCAGCTCAACCTCACAAATACTTTGCCTCACTTCTTTTGGAAACTTTAGAGTACAGCATAACGGCACGGATAAAACTTAGTTTTCAAAACTTAGTTTTCAAAAAGCAAAACTCTGTGACTTATTATGAAGTACTAAAAGTGAGATGCAAAAAGTATGTTTCTATGAGGACTTCCACACATTAATATTTTAAGTTCTTGTTACAAAGTTAGACTTTTAATTCTTATAAGTCACACATTTTATCAGTACAAAATTGAAACTAATTATGTTGGATATTACCTTAATTTTGCTTCAAACTAAATACAAATTCTTCATTTTTAATTTGCTCTGAAAACAGTGCATCTTTGTGTGAAAAGCCAGAGGAGCCCATTTTTCTTTGTCAAAAATTGAACTAGCCAGCAAACAAACTCCCTTGAGGGAAGTACACAAAATATGTACAGATCTTTTTAACATATCCACATTTCCACTTTTATCTAAAGCTAAGGCTACCAAAGATGTCGGTGTTCTTAATTTTCATTTTAATTATGAAGTTAGTGGTTGTTTGAGACAATGGTAATAATCAAAAAGTAGTCGAACAATAGTGTGAGTTTTTTCTGTACTTTGAAAAAAACATCAGAGAAAATATTGTGATCTGGTTTTTAGTTTGGTGCTTTGTTAATTGATTGTCCCTGTCAGTTATTTTCAGGACCAGTTTCTGTAAATCCATAGCATACAAACACATCACCCTTAAAATCTTGTCTAGCTAAAAACTTTATACCAGAGCCATTTTGATCCACATTTTTAAGGTTTGCTGCACAATCCCCCAGAGAATTATAGGGTTTACAATAACTTGAAATTTTTCTGATTTTTTTTCCTTCCAACAGTATTAATAATTTCAAAATGAATTTGTGTAGTTTTTCTTGAATCAGAAAGATCTGTCTTCTAAGAGAAGTCATTTTGGTTTTGTGATTATGAGATACGCCTCTCTCTGAGAAAGGGGTTACCTTCCACTGTAGGTGTTTGGCAGCAGTAATAGACTATTACGCCCTCGAGTCTTAAGTCTGGGCACAGTTTGTAAGTGTTAAGGCAGAGCACAGGCCTGTATTTTAAAGTCACACCTGGTTCCTATTTGAGGCAGGCGCCTTGCCTCCTGGTGCCCCTTCCAGTCCTTCCACATGTGTTTTGTTTTGTTTTGTTTGTTGGTGTCTGCCTTTACCGCAGAAGTCATTTCTCCCCACATAAGCCCAGCTCCCAAGCCACCTTCCTCGCCCCTGTTGTCTCTGACCTTCACCTGCCCCTCCAGTTTATAATACAGTGCGTTAGTGGGGCTAAACACATACCAGGCTTCCATTCAGCAGTGGCAGTTACCCTGTGGGATCCGGTCAGTACTGAATGGTGGCACCTCCTGCCTCTCGCAGGCTACCGTGCCCTGAGAAACAGAAAACAAATGGCCTGCAACAGCTGCGTGTGTTCATGATGAGCCTCTCACTTATTTTCCTCTGTTTTTCCAAACAGAGGGCGGGACAAAGAGTAAAGTCCCAGGGGCAATCAAGAGGAAGAGACCTTTGAAATTTCCAGTGCCCTGTGTTATGGTGGTTATAATTATCTTGAACAACTACTTTATTTTTCCATTCAATTCCATCTTCTCTTTTTCCCTCCCACCCTTTCTCACACTTGGGGTTGAGGGGGAGCTTTGAGTCATGACTTAGATCTCTATGGGAGAACTAACAGCAGTCACTGTGCACCTGAGCCTCGAGGGTCAGCTTTCTTGGTTCTTATTCTAAGTCCTTTTGCTCACTACAGTGAGTTGGTGAACTTTGCTGTGGCTCAGTTTCTTCATCTGTATCATGGAGGTTCTAACGGTGCTTACATGATAGAGTTGTTTTAGTTGAATTAAAGGAGATAATACAAGATCATCTACTTGGAAAGGGTTTTCACACTATGTAAGCATTTCACAAAATTTAACTAAACTGTTATTATCTCTCCTGGGTTTTATGCCATATCTACAGATTGCACCAGTAAGGCTTGAGTACAGTTGTTATGCTGAATTATCCAGATCATTGTATAGTAATGTATACATCTATTTTATGCAAGTGGGTGTGGGTGTGTATGTGTACATCACAAAATACCTTAATGAAAAGTTAAATTAATTCTGCAAATGATCACAAGTTAGTTTATCTCTTGAATGATCCTAGAGAAATAATATGAATAATAATAGCTTTAAGGATTTTTAGCTGTGTAAAACCAAATGAGTTTTGACCATACTAAAAATCAATGGAAGAACAAATGGTAGACTCTTACTTGAAATTCTGGTAGAATTACGTAAAATGCATTGAGTAAAATTTAGCTAGCTTCTGGCTTGTGTCCTTATTATTAGAAGAAGAATATAGCTTTGTTTTGGCCCTCAAGTATTAGACTTTAATATGTGAACTCCTCAACGTCAAGAACTATGTATCATCCACCATTCTATCCCAAATCTAATCCATTGTTGGGCAGATGACCAATGGTCAAAAGCTATGTTGAGTTAATGAGAAATCAGTGCAAGATCTAAGAAGTGTTAGAAGGAAAAGTCCAATTTGAGTAGAATCTGCATGGATTTAAGTAAGTATTTTAACTGACTCTGAAGGAAAAAAATAAGATATTATCACAAAAGATCAAGAAGTTGAGGCACTTTTAAGAACTGTTGAATGCAGTAAACTCAGGATGGTTTTGTAGGAGAGAAGTAGGAGATGAGGTTGGAAACAAAAGGAGTATAAACTGCTCTGACTTGGCTAAGGAGTTAAGACTTGACTCCATGGGGAATAAACAATTGTAAAAGTTCTTGAACAGGTAGTTGATAGGCACAGCGAGGTGTTTTTAAGAGTTTAATGTGAGATTTCAATGAGGACAGGTAGAAATGGGGTAAAGGTTGCTTGTTGGTCAAGGCTAATGATGAAGATCTGCACATGAGGCAGCAATAGGGACACAGTACAAGGGGAGCTCTCACAGACACATGGAGGGACTCACTTAGCTGGTGGCTAGCTAGAAAAGAGTATATAATGAAAGAACATTTCCATGACGGTCATGCTGCATTTAGGTGGCAGTGGAACATCCTAGTAAAGTGAGTTAGTTGCATGACTAGAGATGGTAATTTCCAGGAAGAATTCAAATAGATAAATTCTTTATATATATACATATATATATAATAAAAATATCTATATAAAGGTTTATTTATACATCAGTTTGTGCATTTTTCCATCTCAATTGTAATCCCCTTGGGCTTCCCATCACCAAATCACCCAATGTATTTCCCTCCCCCCACTGTTTTTGATCCTATTCCCCACTCCACCCCCATAAAATGTCTCTGGTATATAACTGTTCATTATTATTATTATTTTCTCCCCTGGTCCTTTATACTCCTGCTATAAGCGAAACCATCCGGAATTTTTCCTTTTCTTTCTGGCTTATTTCACTAAGCATGATCTTTTCCAGCTCCATCCATGTTGCTGCAAAAGGCATGTGTTTATTTTTTTGGTTGCTGAGTAATATTCCATTGTATATGTACCAAATCTTTTTAATCCAATCATCCACTTTTGGGCATTTGGGCTGTTTTCATGTCTTTCCAATTATAAATAAAGCAACAATAAACATGGGGGTGCAGGTGTCTTTTTGAATCAGTGTTTTTGTGTCTTTTGGGTAGATACCTAGGAATGGTATTGCTGGGTCATATGGAAGCTCCATGTTAAGCAGTTTGAGAAACCTCCAAACAGTTTTCCATAGTGGTTGTACTTGTTTGCATACCCACCAGCAGTGCAAGAGATCTCCTTTTTCTCCACATCCTTGCTAGCATTTGTTGTTGCTAGTTGTTTGAAGATGTGCCATTCTCACTGGGGTGAGGTGGTATCTCATTGTGGTTTTAATTTGCTTCTCCCTTATTACAAGTGATATTGAACATTTTTTCATATGCTTGTTGGCCATCTGCATTTCCTCTTTGGAGAAGTGTCTTTTTAGCTCTTCTGCCAATTTTTTAATGGGGTTGTTTATTTTTATTGAGTTTCATCAGTTTTATGTATATCTTTGTGATCAATCCTTTATCACTAGTTTTGTGTAAGAAAACTTTTTCCCAATCAGTGGGATGTCTGTTTGTTTTGTAATGTCTCTTTTACTATACAGAAGCTCTTTATGTAGTCCCATCTATTTATCCTTGCCTTCACTATCATTGCCTTGGGTGCTGTATCTTCAAAGATGTTGCTAAAGAGTATGTCACATAGTGTTTGGCCCATCTTTGTTTCAAGGTATTTTATGGTTTCCGTTATTATGTCTAGGTCTTTAATACAATTAAAGTTGATTTTTGTGTATGTGTGAGGTAGTGATCTAGTTTCATTTTTTTGCATGTAGCTTCCCAGTTTTCCCAGCAC